ATTATTTTTGAATTCATTATATATTTTTTTTTCAAAATTTTCAAATACTAAACTTATTTATAATTCTAGATAACAATTTTTAAGTTTCAGAAACTAACTACATAATACAATACCAATTTGTTAATTAATTAATTTCTTTTTCATTAATGTCTATGTTATGCTGAAGAGATTAATTAAAAGTAAGATATAATCGGCTAATAAGCAATTAACTGTGAATGACAAGACCTTGTATCTTGTTAGAGTTAGTGAACTCTATTCAATGTTAGAAACCCATTTTTAAAGTGCAGTAGAAGATTTTACCAAGTTGATTAATGGTTATCAAGTTTAAGCATAAATCAACATCCATAAGCAGTAAACATAAAGCACACCAGCATATACATGGATCTACTAAAACCACTCTTAGCCTACATCCATGGGACTTCGTCCAGATCGAATTAAGCAAATCCACTAAACAACAAACATTATAATATATAATTCAAAGTTGATTTTAGCTATAACAAAAAGAACTCCCTGTTCTAGTGACACTAAACACCACCCTTTGAATCTCTAATGTCTTGTTGTTCCACAGATCTCTTCACTCCAGGTTCACTCTTGGGAAACGCTTGAGCTCCACCCAAGCTTCAATCGCTGAAGACACGCTTCAACATCAGCAAAGGAACCATGTTCCAACCGCCATTCAACAATGAAGATAAACAAGAAAGTTTCTAGCACAAACCCATATAAAAGAACCTATCCAAGAACAACTCTCTAAAAAGTTCAAAGCACCAACAAAATAAATATTCAGGTTCAAAAAGAAAAACAAACACGGAAGAAGATGGACTTCCTTTTAGCTCAACAAAGATGAAGGATGATAAGTGTTTGGCACAATAACATAAAGTGAACCTTTAAGGAATAAAACTCTCTGAAAATTTCAAAGCACAAGGAAATAAAAATATCAAAGGTTAGTTTTTCAAATGAGCAACAATGAGGAAGATATCGTCAAATTTTGTGCTCAACAAATTATGCCAAGTCAGAAAACAATGACTAACATATGTTGGTCCAAAAATAGAAAATATTTCATCTATCTTTTGGGATCACAACCAAAAAGGGAAAAAACTTATTTCCCTAGATCACAAGAGGATATTAGGACACCTATAGGTGGTCCTCATGACAACACAACAGATGGATAAAAAATATCTTAACTAATAAAGATAAAAAACGCAACTTGCAAAAAAAGAGTCAAACATGCGATGTTAACACAGCATAAAAGTATGCACACACACGAAGAAAAATGCAAAATGAAATGCAACATGCATATGTTTGACATAAGTATGCAAGCACACATCCATTGTGCACACACATGAAATGAAAAAGCAAAAGGCATAAACCTGACATAGTTGAACACGTGGAGGACAAAAAGAATTCTAACTTTTTGTTGGACCACAAACATATCTTTTCTCTTTCTTACAGACCACAGAAAAGGCTTACAACCTTTTAGGACCACATAAAGAAATTGCGACACTTGTAAAATTAGCTCACACAAGAATATCATGAATCAAAATAAGCTTGATGGGAAAGAGTTAACACCACATGGCAAAATGTGTCGATAGCAGATGCTTGCACAGAAGAATGATGTGTGCATATATTTGCTCAACAATTCATTGTCCACCAAAATATAAGTTTGACAAAAATATTAACATATCTCCAAATGAACTTCATAAATCCACCACTCACTAATTTTACAATAATTCTAGATGTATAAAGAAATTTACAAAGATTTCTTGTACAAAGTGATGTGGTAGCAAATGAATGAAAGAGTAATACAAAAAGTCAAAACTCATCATATCCACTCTTCCAATCATCTTCTGCACATCACTTTGTACAAGAAATTTTTGTAAATTTCTTTGTACATCTAGCATTACCCCTAATTTTAATGCTACAACGACATTTTTGATTGCCGTCACCAATCCAGCAGTATTATTAAGATTATGAGTCTGTTGCCACTAAAAGTTGATGATTTGAAGTTTGATTGATAATTTTGCTACATAAAGCGAACCAAATATTAAGTGGTGTTAATTAAAAGTAGATAATGACTTAAACAAATTGGGATAATAGGAGCAATGTTATGCTTACAACTGAGTTGTACAACTGAATCATACAAATAAACAAAAAACAAAGGATAAAGTAGTCATTTTATATAATTTTTGTGTAATTTTTATTATGACTTAGTTGTATAACTCAGTTGTAAATAAAACTTTATTGGGATAATAATGATCATTTATCATTATTATAATTGTTATTTATGATCAAAGTGTTTGAGCTAATTTACACGCATCTCAATTAACCTTCGAGGCTTATTAAACATCCTAAAAAGTCACAAATATAATCCTTGAGGCACATTAAATATCTTAAAAAATCATAAATATAATAAATGTGATATATGACTCTAAGATAATTTGAACCTAAAAAAGCAATAAAGAGAATAAGCTTTCTTCGACTACCAAATTATTATGATGTCACCACAGGTACCACTGCTTTTGGCGTAGGGTCCATCTCTCCAACCAACGTGCATGTGGGCATTGTCATTATAATGATATTACGTTATATATGACTCTAAGATAATTTGAATATAAAAAAGCAATAAAGAGAATAAGCTTTCTCGACTACCAAATTATTATAATGTCACCACAGGTACCACTGCTTTTGGCGTAGGGTCCATCTCCCCAACCATGTGCATGTGGGCATTGTCATTATAATGATATTAGATGTATAGTTATTAGTCATGATATAAATAGGTCTCCTCAATTTGATTGATTTGATTGTGTTAATGTTGGTTAGTTGTAGTGACAATGACACGTAAACATTTCAAATAAGAAAATAAAATTATTAATGAAAATGTTTAGACTATATTAACAAGAAAAAAATGGGCAAACTATTTTATTACCCTTTAAGATTGGGACAAGTATACAAGCTCTAAGTAATATTATATCATAGGAAGCATTTGAGACGATGATTAAACTTTAAATGCAACGCCAAGTGTGATAAGAATCTGTGCGTGTCTATATATCAATTCATTAAAATGTTCAAAAATATAACCATAGATATTGCTTTATTATATCTCTTTCGGAGCGTTTGGTTGGAGGTAATATGAGATTATTAAAGTTATGTCATCCTATATTACTTAATTATCACGTTTGATTATCAAGTAATATAAGATTCTAGTAATCTTCAAATACCAATAGTAGTTACTGTTGGTAATATTAAAGGTAATCTGATTACTTCTATTTTCTTAAGTATTGTAAGATTACTAGGGTAATCTTTTTTTTTTTTTATTACAATTCTATCCTTACTAATAAAATTTTAGAATAATAATGCCCTTATTTTTAAATTTATTTACATGAATGTTGCTTTTACTATTTTACCCTAATTAATTAACTTTTTGGACAAAATTACCCTTGAATTCAAAACAAATTGCAACCCACCCAAGCCACCACCCCCACCCACCTGTCGCTGGCAACCACCATTGTGGCCAACCACCACCGCCGTTGTAAAGGTGCACGGAAGGTTGAAAATGGTTGTCGTGCGTCGATATGGCCATTTTCGACCAAATATCTAGCCAAAAAATGGCTAGATCTAATCTAGTTGTCAACGGCCAGATTTGTCACAATCTAGACATTTCTGGCCACATCTCTAGCCGAAAATGGCATTCCGTGCGCTATTAGGTTTTCGGCTGCCAGCGACCGGCGGTGGTTACCAACGGCCGACAGTGGTTGGGTTGTGGGGGTACTTTGTTGATTTTTTAAACTTTTATTATGGGATTGTTTTTGCTAAGTTTTTAAATAAGGGGGGGTTATGTAATCCAAATAATAATCAATATTAAAAAATAATATAATAATAATATTTAATTAAAAGATAATTCAATAATTTAAATAATATACTCATCCATTTATTCCTTTCAACCAAATATATTAATAAAACATATCAACTAATTTATTTCAACTAACCAAACATATTTTCTTAAAAATTCTTAATAATCTTTAAATTAATCTAATTTTTCAATAATCTAATATTTTTAATAATCTAACCTTTACTAACCAAACGCATCATTCATGCCAACATATTAAAATTAGTTAATGCAAGCGTTAACTGTTGATGGGATCTCCAGTTGGAGAAACTGTTTAATTAGTGAATGATGTACACGATAAGTTATGCTGAGGAGTCAGGAGACTGCTTTGAAGCTCTATAATTGTGATTAGGAATTGTCATGGTGCAGACCTATCACCTTGAGAGTGTAATTTTTTTTGCTTTTTGCTATCTTGTCAAACTTTACATAGATTTCTGTGCCAAGTGACTGGAGCAATAATACTAACTAATTATTTTGGCACGGCTTTTGACTATTTCTCTCCCACTAATACGCGTCACTTCTTTATTTTGTCTAATCTCCACCAAACCACCGACACCTTCTCTGTTAATCAACCTAAGATAAAAAATAAAAAATAAAAGTTAATTTACTATTTATTTTATTTGAGTATTTAGTGTAATACTACACCGACACCGTCTATTTCATACTCCAAAATTTTCATATCAGAATGTGTTATTTTTCTTTTGCTTTCATTGACGACTTGACCTACTGTAAATTCATTAGCCAATGAGAATTTTCAAACTCTTCATCTTATATATGTATTTGATTTGGAAATTAGCTAAAAGCGAAGGCCTTTGATTGTGATGGGATGGCCATGCATTCGATTAATGACGGCATGACCCACAGACCACTGGGCAAAAAGAAATTATAAATTAAAAGTATGTACAAGTAGTTTTCTGATGTTGATACTACTAATTTATAAGTTTATTATATAAATTGCCGCAAGCAAGCCAAGATAGAATTTTCCCCAACATTCACAAATATACACACTGCGTACAAACAATATTGCATTTTCAATTTCTCTTGTATGCATGCTAATTCACCACATAAAAAATGAAGAAATTAAACCAATGCTTATTATTATACAATATTGCAAAGCTAAAATTATAAGGCGAGAAACTTCTTTTTTTGTTCTCAGTTATTCATTACAAGAGGATTGAAGTTTAAACTATACAGAATTTCAGAAACCTGTATTACACAATACGTAATTCCCAATATTTTGCAAACCAGAATTTTTACATTAATTTCTTGTACTGTAACTAAAAACACCCTGATGCCTGATTATTTATATACTTCCTTTCATGAATATGTCAAATTACCCTAGGCCGGAGATGAAAGTTACACCGGTTGAAGGCAGCCATGTTGATCCAGCAATGAATTTCCCAACAGTGAATTTGACAGCTTCATCAGCTCCAATAACATGAAAACCAGGCCAATTAACTCTCTTGAAAGTTGAAGCTCCAGGGCCTACATTAGAAAACTCTGCAAAGTAAAGAGTTTTCCCATAACCTCCTTCTCCAGGCCACTCAATCCAACCTCCCGATGAGATAGCTTCATCCAGGGTCGATTGCATCACAACTGACCTTGAATATTGTTTCCAGGGCCTCCCAAGATACGAGTTATAGTTATGCTTCACTGGGGAAAAATCTGAGCCAACTGTAATTTTACAATTCTGTAAAGAGAAGCCGGTGTTTTGTCCAGGGTCGGTTCTTCCTTGGGCAAGAATTACATTATACTCTCCTGTCGGGCGGCGAAGGACAATGTAACAGTTCTGGAAAACTGCAGCGGCGTTTCCGAATATGAAGTCTACGGTGCCGTAGATGTCAGTATCGCGATAGAATTGTCGAAGAGCAAGTGCGTATAAAGTGTCCTGGTAGCCCACAATGCTGCACCTGAAAAAGACTGAATGATCGGAGCCTACGTTAAGAGCTAAAGCTTGTTCTCCATGGGGCCCTGCCGTGTTTTGGAATCCGATATCGCGTGCAATGAATCCATCACCAGTGATTGCTGAAATTCACATAAATTTATTAATAAAAGCTATCTTGTCAGTTGTCATGCGCTAGACATATATATAATTTTATCGTATATTAATCATAAAGGTTAGATTTTACCGTATCCATCTTGGATTTCTAAACTCAAATGATCTTCTATTTTTTACAAGGCCATGGCCCTACATAATTTTTTAACATGTATGAACTTATTTATATTTTAATTTTGGTCTTTCAACCGTTGATTTCATTTCAACTCTTTTATATGGGTTGTCTTAATTAATTTGTGCTTTAGGTCATATGTTAAAAATATATTTAAAAAAATAAATTATCCAATAATATCAAAATATTAATTTTTTTTTGTCTTATTATATCTTGAACCTTTGTCCTTTAAAAGTTAAAACAACCCTTTGTATATATGATGCTCCCTTTAAATATTGCATCAATGGGTAATTAGCATTCTTCAAGGGTCGAAGTCAATAACAAAGACAAACATAAAACAAGAGAATCAGAGCGAGTGAGAGAGATAATACTGACTGAATGTGGCGGAACCAGGCATGGAAGAGCCTCCAGCTACACTACTACTGCCAGTAATAATAGTTGAGTATTTGCCATCTCCAATCAAGGTGATACCATCTTTGTTTGTGCGAATTTTCTCATTATAAACTCCTGCCTTCACATAAATCACAAACCGATTTCCAGAAGCAGCATTAATAGCTTCTGATACGGTTTTATAGTTGCCCGTTCCATCTTTTGCCACAACCGCATTTGCCTTTATGGTCGGGACCTGAAGCAGTTTTCGATCTTTTGCGGATACCCAGTCGGGAAAAAATTGTTCCTCGTTCAGAAGGCGATCATTATTTTTCTCTCTTGAATTACTAGTAATCCTGTTGATAAGGGCCAAAGGGTTACTCCCCAGTTGAGAAAGATACTCCATTTTTTGGGATATCTTTTCATTAAGCTCACCGGAGAGCTTGAGGCCCTCCACGGACTCTTTACAAGTTTGCTGGAAAGTTAAGGCAGCGCTCAGCCATGTTTGGATGTCACATTTGTTTTTCTTTGGAGATTCTTTCATAGCTAATAGTGATTTCTCTAGTCGTTTCCGAGACATACTCATAAGCTCTTCACAATAATCTGCATGTACAAAAACCGTGGGCCTTAGTGAAAAGTAATGAACAAGAAAAGGAAAAAGTTAGACACAGATGACACAAGTATAATATACGTATAAGATAGGTATAGTTTTTGTTGCTTTCATGATATATATATATATGCTATACAAACTAATTCTGAAACAACATAACAATAACAATTATATCTAAAATTAAATTGAAGAATTGGTTTACATTACCTGTGACATCACGAACACGTTGAGATTCTTGGAGATCAAGAAATTGGGAGGTAAATTTGGCGAAGTATGACGGGGGCAATTTGGTTTCGGAAATGGTCATGTTAATGAGAGCAGACATAATATGGACATGTTTATTATTATGTCCTGTACTCTCAAATTTCATCAAGGTTTGAACACAAAGGGTAGGATATCTAGTGAACTTGCACTCTTTCAAGATTTGTTGTTGGAAACCATCCATGGCAGCCGATGACATGGTGGCTCCCCATAGCAGAAATAACCTCACAAGCCAAAACATTGAAAACTTTAGGGTTACTCCCATGCCAACCAAATTGTTTACAAATCTCACAACCACATTGGAGAAATGGGCTCGATATTTATAGTGAAAGGAGGTGTGTTATATTACCTTATTATTATTCTTACTAAAGTGTTATGAAATTAAAACTATATAGATTGTATATTATATTCAATTAAGTTATTTTGAAAGGCAAGTATTTGGATGTGGGTAAAGAACATTTAGTGTTAGTTTGGAGGTCCATTTCCCATGAATCATGACAAATAAATGGTGCTAAATATTCCAAGCAAGTCTTTTTGAGTGTGGGGTTGGATCATAAGCCACTTGAATAATGCTGGTGGTCACATAATTTGTATTGTCCATTTAATAAGTGCACAAGGAACTTTCTTCGTACTCATATAGGACATATATAGATTAACATCACTTGTTTCCAAACACAACTTAGATTACCCTTATGGTGATTTAATTATATTATATATAGCAATTAGTTTTTAGAGTTTCAATTCAATCTAACTGGCCATACATTTATGTGAAAAAAATTTATGGATAAGATTATTCAAAATTTGATTATTTTATCTAGATTAATTACGTAGTTTGTAAATAGTTTTATTGAATACTGATTAAATGGTGTGAAACTTACGAAATGAAAAGAGATGTAATGTAACTATATATGAGAAGAAAAAGCATAGATAGTAAATATGAATAAGTAACTCAATTACGGTAACAAAATTAAAAGGCTAAGATGTCACTATGATAAATTAATGTAGATGTTGATGCGAAAATTCATACCCACCAAAGATACTCAATCAACATCGGAAGGGGTCAAATAAGATATACGCATGGTTACTGGTAATCAGTAAGATTGATAAAAACGATGTAATAAAGTAAATAACAAAAGAGATTTTATAGTGGTTCAGCGGTTTAGAAACTAAATCTACATCTACTGTTATATTATTGTTGGGGAAAGTTACAGGGTCAAATGAGGTTACAAAGAGAAGCTCGTGGGCTAAATGGAGGGCATTTAGCTTTTGTGACCAATTCTCTCTAAACACTCTCTAAAACGGGTAAATGCGTTATTTCTCTTGAACTTTATTAATAAACTGAAATCGTCATTTGAAACAGAGGTTATAGGCTCTTTTTATACTTGATTCATCTGGGAGTGGTTGAGAGTGAGTGTTACGGGGTTACTTGCACGCATAATCCACCTAATCAAGATCTAAGTCAGTAATTTTTATGCTTGTGACATATCGGACCATGCTAATGACAACTTAACCCATGTTTATGATAATAATCACCTTAGGAGGGAAAATAAGTACTGATGGACAACATGTGGGAGGATCCTGACCGTTGGCTTTTGATATATCTCAAGAACGAGTGGCACAAATCTGACTGACAGGAAACTGCTCAAAAAAGTAGATAACCTTCAACAAAATAAATAAAAAACTTAATTGGATTGCCGTGGGTCATAAAGCTTTATTGTTGGATGTGTCCATCACTCAACGAATCTTTAATCGAATGGACTTGGGTTAAAGACCCTCTGAAAGAGACAAAGTCGCACCTCCTAGTTCTCACTCCCTCTCTTCCTGCCCCTTCATTAATAAATATTATTATATTTACGGAAAAATAAACAAATTAAATAACAAATATATATTGTTCTGGTTAAAATTATTTTGAATTTTATATAATTTGTATGTTAATTAAACAAAGTATTTCTGATACGTTACGGAAAGATAGAAACCTGCCTAAAAAATTTGAGTATTACCAAATATCTTTAAAAATTGATCTGTCATGGTTAGAATAATGAATGTGAAATAAAGAATGCATGCGTGTTACTGTTGTACACTTTTTCTGAGTTTATTAATTTATGCAAAAGCAAAAATTCTTTCACTCTGGACATAAGAAGCTTCCAATACCAAAATTCTAAAGGTCTCTTGCTTCTTCTAGCTGATGGAATGTATCGATTGAAAGGGAAAGCAACTAAAACAATTTGCAGGCTGCGAGAAGAAAAAATATTTCCAATTGGTTCTCCATTACGTAAATAACTTTGTAGTTATTAGCTATCACGGGGTCAGAAGTTCCATTAATAAGTCTTTATTCAGAAAGTCTTGGTCTTCCTCTTTATTATTTGTGCCAATCGTGTTATGGCCTTGTTAATAGACCTACTTGGAAAGTGTTCAACTTTATCTAGCTTGGTTTTTTCGTTTGTTTGTTTGTTTTATGCATATTCTCTGAGTAAAAAAATAAGGTAACTGTTTAATTTTCATAAAAAAATTAAGTTCAATTAAGGTTTGATTGAATATTTTGTTAATCTCAATTTGTGGAAGCGTTTCTAGGTCAGTTATCTAATCAATACTTTAGAATTTACTATATATCATGGGCGGCAAGGTTTTGTTTTCTAAGTTCTTATTTAATTAATTATTCAGACAGCTCATACTTGTTTAAGAAACCCTTTACTTTTTCAAATCAGATGATGTGAGATTAACCTAATTATCCATCTTACTATCCATTTCACGATGGGTATTGAATCAATCTACCATCTTTGAGTTATTGAACTGACGTACAACTCAAACAACAAAGCTGTTACATAATTTCAGAAAACTTAAAATATTGTATGGGTTTTTGACGCAAAATCTACAAAAAAAGAAAGGGGCAAAGATCTTTTTCATTTTGAGATTTAAAATCTCTTTTATTCTTACAGACAATAAGACACGAACGAAAATATGTATGAACTAGAAGAAACTGTAACCCAATATATATATACTGCATGTAGTGTTGTACGTTAATTAAATTATAACGTATGAATCTCACTGATTAATTTTTGTAGAATTAGCTGTTTCTTGCAGGTCTATATATTTCGGCTTTCGGGTATGTTGTCTAATCAACAAGCTCGAGCAATATAGAAATGCAGATGGATTTTAATGGTCTGAATAGTGCAGATAGTGGGGGCAGTATGTCACAAAGTGTGGTACAGCTGATAGACATCCTACAATTCAATATCACATCCATCCCGAATGAAATGAGATTGCCTTCGCACCTAATTACGACAAGCTTAAGCTTATGTCTCTCTCTCTCTTTTAGAACTTGTTAAATGCCTCCAAATATAATCCCACCGCTTTTGGTTGGAAATATTCTGAATCTTAAAATGACGCCCTTTCTGGTTTAGCTAAATTTGTCAGCGGTCTATTATATTTGCGATTATTGTTGCCACTTTTCTTGGAGGATTTTCACATTTGGTACAAGAAAAATGGACTCAATCACTCAGTCTAAATGAATAATTGTGTGGCTTCTTAAACTCTAAACCCTACAAAGTTATGAAGGAATTAACTTGATAAAATCTCATATTTCGTATATACAAAAAAATAAATGATTCATCAAGTTCAAAGTTGATCTCTGTAATATTCCGAAATACTAAAAATATCATAATAATATTATATTCAATAAATTAATATTTTTGAAAATATAATAAGTACGAGTGGTACTATCAATTTTAAATTCTGACTGATGTGATTATCAATGTCTTAATTACTATATTAATTGTAGGAAACATAATCTTATACCACAAATTAATATATCAGATCTGCATTAGTTAGAACTCTAACTCTCTCTCTATATATATATAGGTGTTGTGTAGTGCTTATAATTGTGGTGGTTGTAATATGGAGAGTGGGTCATTTGGATCAACATTTTGGTTCGACAATAGCACATGTAGGTGATGGAGAAAGTGCATCGACATGTCAGCTGGCCTAATTAATACAATTTCCAGAAACCCGATACCTAATTACGTGGCTTTGAAATTTGTATGTGCCGGGGTTTAATTTGGTTTAATATTATATCCTTATTCCATTCTACTGTTATATCTTAAAAATCTACAAATGTATTTGTTTCAATATTCTATTATACTTTATTCACCTCACAAAACATTAATAATTATATTTTTCATAAAGATAACCAAATTTTACTTTTTTTCAAAATACCATTCTAAAAATCATCAAATAATGAACCAAATGTAGTCGCTTCTCTGACTCATACCCTTCATTCATGGATATGAACCATCCAAAAATTAATATTTAGGAATATACATGAGAATTGAGATGGATGTGTGTGAAGTTCAATATTAATATATTATGTGCAGGATTTGGCTTAATTAATGAGTTGATCTCAAGACTTATCTTTACTAATTATAAGTGGTTTATGGTTGAGAATAAACATGGATGTGATGATAATTGATAAATTGAATCGTTTCAGCACAAATCTAATAATGAATTAAAAATGCACAAATCTAATAAGTAGTACTTGTACCACTGGACCACATTAAGGAAAAGCAAGACAAGAGTTGAAATTGCCTTTTTTTGGTCATTGGTTGATTTCTGAGTCATTATTGTTCGATCATTCAAGATAAGAATTTGGATTTAACTTATTAGTTGAAAATTATAATTAGCATTTACTATATTTGAGAATGGAATATAATTTCATTTGTAGGAGCCGAAATGAAATGAAATGATATTGACTTGTTTAGAATCTTATAAAGGCAGTAGCAAGTGGAGATATTATTGTGGTATTTTTGAAAGTAATGTTTGAGCATCAATAAATAAAATCCATATTTGAATTACAAAAGGCTTAATATTTTACTTGAGTTCTTACCCGAATGGTAGTTTTAAAGTTCTAGGGATCAGTTAAGGTGTGATTAAACTGGTCCGGACACGCTCGATTAAAATATATATATATATATATATATATATATATATATATTTTACATTGGCTAAAAATGTAGTAGATTGATTCAATGACTAAAGAGTTATTTTAGCTACTATATATAGCCTAAAAGTCTAAATTAAAGAGTTATTTTTCCATTCTATATTAGTGTTATGTTGTAAATTTAATTTACATTTTTTCGATGTCAATATAATAGTAGTCTTATATGGTGAAAGTATACGTGTTAGGTCTTTATTATCATCGATTTATTCCCATATTACTTTCAAAATGGGCATCTCTTTATTGCAACTTCGGCTTTATTATATTTTCAACAATATTGTTGTGATGTGGCAATTGATATGTACACACGTA